GCAATACGAAAAATAAGTCAGATCCCTTGAGATTATTCCCCATTTCACTGACTGACTGCCYAACAAAGTTCCCTGTGGACACTGCTCTTGAGGACTGAGTGGAAACCTGGCACTCCCRTCCAAACCGACACCAAATTTAAGAATTTGCCCAGACCTCTCTCGGTTTCCTCAGTTTCCCTGCTGGGCAACAGCAGCTCAGCTATAAAACGCGTTTGCGGCAGACTCCACTGGCCCACAACTCTACTTTGCACAGGCTCCGTGGCACYGACTGCTCCCGTCCTTCCAGAGGGCCTTCGGAGAGCGTGACGCTGCTGCACGCGAGTCCCGCAGTGGTCAGCACCTCTGCTCGAGTCACCACGCAAGGGCAGGGTACCTGGTAGACGAAGCAGATGGTCGGGGCTTGACAACCGTAGAGAAACTTCACGTCGATGACCTGGAGCTCTTCCAGGCGGATGTTAAAAGCCTTTAGCTCCTTGTTCTCCCGATCCAGGGGGATGACCTTGAAGAGGCCATCGTAGAGGCGCAGGCCGATCATCCGGCACTCGGGGTCAATGATGCCGATGATCCCTGTCTCCGAGGGGCGGCCGATCCGATCCTGAGCGCAGCCACGGAGACGGGAGAGAGAAAAAGCAACCAAGGTAAAAAAGGGATTCCCCCACAGGACCCAAGAACAACACACATACAGGAGTCACTACCCCTTAGCTCAAGAAGGGCTCCCTGCACACCACACAACAGGCTTTAAAGCAGTCTGGCCAACCAAAGGGGGTTTGGGGCTTCTTCCTGGGCTTCTTAACCCCACTGAATGTCCTCGGGTCAGTCACACCGCTGACCGGGGCCCCAGCTTTCCTGTCGCTGAGGGACAGCAATATTCCCCACTCCTGTGAAGTGTTTTTATATCTACGACCAAAAAACATTATTCAGAAACCGAGTGCTGTGATCAGCCCCCGCAGAGCCCTCAGCTTCACACGACGGGGACCGATACCAGCATCTCCACGTGTCACAACCCGGGGCCACGGCACAGGAAGATTAAGTGTTTTTCCCTAAAACTTGTTAGCGGCAGGACATGCCCACCTACACCGGCTGGCCCGTCACCCCGTGCTCAGTTCCACCAACAGGAAGTGAACGGAAGTTCGGCATTGGAAAACAGATGGGAGATATTTTTGCTTGGCAGCCGAGGGAAAACACGTAGCTAAAGACTAACAGAAAGCCATAGAGGCACACAAGTTTCTCGCCTGCCCAAAAGGCAAAATTTTAACCTGAATAAAACAGAACAATAAAGAACAGCTACAATTATTATGTTGTCCGATCACGATGGTAAAAGGAACTGTAGCACTCTGGTGTGCAGCACGTGGAAATCTGTCCCRCGCTGCAACAGGAGGCATTTTTACTGGGAAAATTCTCCCCTATGCTGCATTTTGAGCACTAATTCTCTTCACCGAAGGCRGACATTAAAGCAAGCACATTGTTCCACAGGCTGCTCCAAGAACACCCTTGTACCTGTGCCCAGATTGACTCACTGGAGGCAAAACCCTCTAGAAATAGCAACAGCAGCAGGGAAGCGTATCAGAAATAGCTGAAGGGGGAAAAAATCACCCTAAATCCTGTCATCTATCGACCTGCCAGCGACCACAGCAGAGCAAGAGCAGCCTCCAGGACGGGCCCCGAGCCGTGCAGCGCTCGGCGGCCGCCCTCACCTGCACGTTGCCGTGGGCGCGCGTGATGATGTCGATGCTGTCCCCGTTCTGCTTGTACTCCAGGATGCAGGCGTTGTACTTGGCCGTGAGGATGAACAGCAGGTCCTTGCTCTCGCCCTGGGGGAGCAGAGCGGCCGCGTGCTCGGGAGGGCTCCGCGGGCAGCGGCTCCGTCCCGCCGGCTCCGTCCCGCCACCGGCTCCGTCCCGCCGGCTCCATCCCGCCACCGGCTCCGTCCCGCCACTGGCTCCATCCCGCCACCGGCTCCGTCCCGCCACCGGCTCCGTCCCGCCGCGCTCACCTTGGGGCGGAAGAGCTCCATGACGGCCGTCTTGCCGTACATGCCGACCTCCTTGACGGGCCGCAGCCCCTCGGCCGTCACCACGTAGATCTCCAGGCGCGTGTTCTTGGCGATGAGCAGGTTGAGATCCTCGGCGGACGTGAAGTGCCCTGAGGAGCGCGGCGCACGAGTCACCGGGCCCGTCACGGGGGGGAAGCGGCGGCCGCTCTGCGGGGCCGGGCAGCGTTCCCCGCGCTCCCACCGGGGCTGCCGGCCCCCCGGGCACCGCCGGGATGCGCCCCGAGCCCCACAGCGGCCCGGGACACCGGCCGCCTGCCCCACAGCGGCCGGGGACACCGGCCGCCTGCCCCACAGCGGCCCCTCGGGACACCGGCCACCTGCCCCACAGTGGCCCCTCGGGACACCGGCCGCCTGCCCCACAGCGGCCCCTCGGGACACCGGCCGCCTGCCCCACAGCGACCGGGCACACCGGCCGCCTGCCCCACAGCGGTCCCTCGGGACACCGGCCGCCTGCCCCACAGCAGCCGGGGACACCGGCCGCCTGCCCCACAGCGGCTCCTCGGGACACCGGCCGCCTGCCCCACAGCGGCC